TTTAATTTTAATAGATGATAAATATGGTAAAGTTTAATGTCCTTGTAAACTGCACTATGCACTTAGCACTGAGCTCTGCAGAGTCATAACTAGGTTTATAGGTGTGCACTGTAAGTGGATTTACACCATTGATTTCATTTTACTAAGGCCTTTCTGGCTTAGGTATGCTTAATCGCTTATAATTACACTGCCCTTTTAAATGGAAAATTTGATCTGTTCAGCATGCTGGCGCCCATCTGCACCTGTGACTGAGGAGGGCTGTTGCGCTGTGGAAATTCTGACTTGATAATAACGTCAATTATGCCCTGAGAAAAAGAAGTGTAAAATCATTTAAAACAAGTAACAGAGCTTTGCAGATGCCATATTACCATCTGGGCAAAACACCGTTGAAAGAAAACTGATACTAAAGAAATAACAACATTTTATTTTGGGGTTTGGAGTTAACGTGTGTTTATCTTTCTGTAAATGTTTAGTAAAATATATGATACTTTATCCAGTGCTTGGCAGGTTTTCGCTTGGCATATATGCATACATGCATTAACATTAAAAAAAGAGTTACCATAAAATATTCTCCATTAGACTTGCAGGAGACTAATTGAAGAGTGCCGCCATGTGGCTAAAGTTTGGAAACAGAAGACGTTCCTTGCATCAGAACATCACGATACCATGTGTAAAGTAGGGATGAGGTTCTGGTTTGCTTCTACCCTGGGTTTGAGGCAAATCTTATGTGTTCAAAGTTCTCAGACCTGGTGAAATAGTGTGGGAATTCAGCAGGCCAAATTCTTGGTAACCATAATGCACTACCTGCCCTTTGAACCTAGGTCAGCTGGCTTAGGAAGGCTAATAAGGGGGGCTTTGATATGTGACTCCCCCAATAGACACATAACAGTCTATGTCTTTTCAGCCTCCAATGTAATTATTATTACAGGTACTTATATAGTGCCATCAATTTATGCAACCCTTTACATATATATTGTACATTCATCAGCTCCTAACTCTCAAGAAGCTTACAATCTATATGTTTACCGCTGCTCAGGGTAGAGAAACTCCCAATCTCCAAGCACAACGTCTCCTGTAGGTACTAACCCAGCTTGTGTGCTGCTTAGATGAGAACAAAGGAAGTCCGATCGGCTGCACTCCAAACAATCCACTTTATTGAACCAAGATAAAACCAATACAGACAGTGGAAATAAAGTGGGGGACTGGCAGGTAAACGGGTTTCACGCTAAAGACAGTACTTATTCATTACCCAGTGGACCCATGAACAAAGTGTTTGGTTTTAAGCCCCAGCAACAGCTGCTCCTCCTAATCAACCCTGGGTCCACATCCTCCTACACCAAACCGATTTAAAGGTAAAGACAGTTCTGCAACTAACAACAATTTTAACATCCCAATCTAATGTCCCTAACTTACATTTATGCATATACCAGGACCAATTTAGATAGGAGCTAAATAACCTATCAGCATGTCTTCGGAGTGCGGGAGGAAACTGGAGTATCTGGAGGAAACCCACACAGACACAGGGAGAACATGCAAACTCCAGGCAGGTAGTGACATGGTTGGGATTCAAACAGATGACCCAAGTGCTGCCAGGCAGAAGTACTAACCACTTAGCCACTGTGCTGCCCCTAATGTAATAACAATAAAGTAAAAAAAGGTTAAAAAAGTTAATTAGAAGACCAGTCAAGCAAGCTGCTATGTTTAGAAATGAAAGTGAAAAATACCACTATGATCTACCCTGTGAATATTAAATAATCATCAAATAAAATAAAGCCGCTGTGCACACATGTGAATCTCACACAATTCCACAATAAAAAAAAAATCACAAAACACTGTGCAGTGCTATTGGGTTCAATATCAACCCCTCAAACATAATCCAATGAAAAACAGTGAAAGTGAAAATATAATATAAAGTCCTTTTCATAACATCATGCTGTGCTTTTTCCACTAAATGCCACCATCCATGCTACATCCAGCAATAGTAAGTGACCACAACGCCACCAGATGTCTGCTGTTTATGACCTCACATGTTATGCTTGGTAATAAAACACTTTTTGTCCCTTCCATGGATATCATGGATGCTGCTTGTATATAACTCTGAACTCTGCTCACCTTCTCCCAAATCACCACTCCGTCTCATGCAAATTAAAACTTAAAATAGTGCTTCATCCTTAAAAGTATTTTATTTCCAATAAAACAGATACAATTGCACTCACTTGTACAGGGTGCCCAATCGTACCTGGATAGTGCTCTATCTGCTACGATTTCCGAACGTCATGACGTCATCTCGGGGTGGCAGGACCTTTGGATGACGTCACGACCTTTGGTAATTGTAGCAGTGAGAGCGGTATTGCACAGAACCGCTGTTTCTCATGTACACAATGTATATCCAGCTGCTTGGAAATAAAATTGCATAAACTAAGAACTGATCATGCAAACAAACATGAATAAATGAATGAATATATAAAGTCCCGTGAGGTGTAAAACACCTGACAATATACAAAAAAAAAAACATATATAAAGTCCACAGCAATTCTTGAAGAAGAAAAAAAAAAAAAAAGTGCTGATAAATGTGCAGAGATATCCAAAAATGGCTGAATTGCCCGCTCACCTCCCTCTTGCGACCCGCACAGGGTCAAAAGGCCTTCAGGATCACTAACACATGGACCCTTAATAGTAGGTAATCCTCCACAGCTCTCCACACTGACCTCCCCTCATGTACAGATTCCAGCACAGGCTCACAGGGCAGCAGATCTCCTCTTCAGGCACATAAGATGGCTGCAGCCACTTGATCCCTCAGAAAATAGAAGTGAATGCTTGCATAGTGTAAAACTATTTACCAAACAAAGTATCACATATCGAATATGCTCACATTTAAAATCACCTTGTACATCACATGTAAATCAAACCTCAGATCAGATGTACTTGCATGGGTGTCCAATGTAAATAAAGAAGGCGTCCGGCCGGAAGTGCGTCACTGCCAATGCGTATCCTCATGCTTAACACGTGACTTCATCAGGGCAAGCTGATAAGGTAACACACTTTCCTTATATAATGACCCCCTGTCAATAAATCTCATTAGGAAACTCTGATGCAGTCATTCTATTTACATGCAAAATTAACTAAGAGAAAATGGCCGCCGGACCTATGGACTACATCAAAATGGCCACCGGAGATGTGCAGTAGTGCCTTTCCTAATGAGATTTATTGACAGGGGGTCATTATATGTGTTTTACACCTCACGGGACTTTATATATTCATTCATTTATTCATGTTTGTTTGCATGATCAGTTCTTAGTTTATGCGTTTATTGGGATGCACATGCGTTTTGTTTTTAAGTTCTGGTGGGAGGTTTTTCTAGCACATTGAGTCCTGTTGTGACTTACTTGTTTGATTTGGAGCACTATTGGATCCCATTGGATTACTTGGGGCACCATTTATGTTATTTGGTCCTTTTAGGACCTCGTATTGACACTTGTCACATGTGATTATTTATGAGTTTTTTGGCACTATTTAATATTGTGTGTTTATGTTATTTGTGTCACTAATTTTGCACTGTTTCACTTATCCATTTATGTGTGAAGAATTTTTATGGTAGTAGCGCTGCATCATTTGTGTTTCATTTATAATTTTTGTCTATGGGTATATGACTGTATGTAGCAGCTTTACCTTTGTTGGTAGGTATTAGTTTTTAGGTAGGAGCGCAGGAGTTTGTCACATTGGAAATAAAATACTTTTGTTTGTTTGAGGGGTTGATATTGCACCCAATAGCACTGCACAGTGTTTTTTTTTTTTTTTAAAAAGTTACACTAAATCAATAAAAAAGCAAAAAATAAGGCTGCCACCTCCCACATACATGCACATACAAACATGAGTGCTTGCATCAGATGTGCCTACGTGCCAAAAGGACAATGGCACTACACATATTAGCTATCCTTGTGCATGCCATAGTGACATCAATATTTCTAGGACCATTATTTGCAGTAAACACTAAACTGTTGACCTGTGAAGGCTTTTAAAGCATTGCCTGTGGACAATTTTGGGTACCACGGTGTGTCACCATTTCACAGGTGTGCACATGTTTGGTATACATTTACTTGAGGCAACTTCATCATTTATATTTTTTCCAATTGAATAGATAATCCAGTATATTGTGTTTTTGTGCACTAAAATGAATTGTAGTGAATTTTATACCAAAAATATGGGTTTGACAAACAGTTTTGCTAATATTGTGAGACACAAAAAATGCAAGTGGTATTTTTCAGGGTCTTTACTTTCAAAAAAAATATAATGTTTTGGGCTTTAAACTAATCTTCAGGTCTAAGCTTTTTTTAACACGTGTACAAAAAAATGCAAAAACAGCTGTCATTTACCCTCAAAGTTGCATTAAAAGAACCCTCCCCATACTGCAGGGGTGGGCAACTGTGGCCCTCCAGCTGTTGTAGAACTACAAGTCCCATGAGACATTGCAAAACTGACAATTCCAAGCATAATTCCCAAAGGCAGAGGCATGATGGGACTTGTAGTTCGCCAACAGCTGGAGAGCCACAGTTGCTCACCCCTGCCCTACTGTATGGTAATTTAAAAAAAAAGTTTTTACTTTTTTAAATATCCCCCATTGCAGTGCAGTTATTCAAGCATTTTGTTTGACAATGGCTTGCCTATTAGCAAATGTCCAGAATTTAATATCAGGATTCAGTAAAATGGAAATGTAAACGTGTGCTATCTACAACAAGCTACTCCAATAACCTAGTGCAGCTGCTGAATAAAAACGAAAACACCCCCCACAGTGTCCTACAATCTAATAAATAAATGTATTCCAGTACTAATTTCACACTAAATATTGAACACATTCAATACCAATACAGCTTACATATAATAAAGCAAGGATGTGAAAAGAAAATTATATAAAGTCTATAAGGCAGCATGATAATAGTGAAGATTGAAAGTCTTACTAAGTCAACAACTGTAAAATCAGTCTGTATATGCAGTAAAGAATGCTTGTTATACTCACTGCGGAACCTAAGGGGTTAATCCTCTGCATTGTGTTAAAGGAGAAGTACAGCCAAATTTCTTTTGCCTGTACTTCTGAGGATCACAGGAGAGCAGTGCATTCTGCACTCCTGTGACCCATTTTCAGAAGACAGTGAACTAACGTCTGCTGTTGGCTGTCACTCATCTGGTCCAGGCTGGAGAAAGATCCTGACTTTCAAGTTGGGATCCACACAGGGGCGGACTGACCATTTGGAAACTCGGACACAGCCGGAGGGCCCGGAGTCAGTAGGGGGCCCCATGAGATGCCCCTGGTACATTTTTCATAGGCTTTTTTGAGTTTGGGCAAGGACACAGGGGCCCCATGATCCCCTATTGCCCGGGGGCCCCATGAGTTGTCAGTCCGCCCCTGGATCCACCTCAGAGTTTGGAGCGGCACCTGGATCAGCCTCTCAGCTGCTGAGAGCCTTAGACAGCCACTCCCTCCCCCTGCACAGCTCAGCGCTCCAGTGAGAGCTGCTGGGGGGCAGAGCAGAGAACGTTGACTGACAGTCACCACTCTCCTCTCAAAGCAGCTGTGAGAACTCAGGGATCAGCGATCTTGTGATCGCTGAGTTCTCACATTTAGAGCTGGCAGGGGACAGATGCAGCATCGGAAAGATGGTGCATTCACCTAGGTAAGTATAAAAGCCCCACTTCTCTTTTAAAAGGATATTTAATACTGTCTTCTCTGATCTTCCCCTTCTTCTAATGTCCCCAATCCATCTGCTGATAGAACAGAGCCTTGGGGGCAAGCTGCACATGCTCAGTTTGGTGTGTATTGTTAATGAGATTCTTTTTCTTGGGAGAATGCATGTGATCAGCACAGGGCTGTCCATACAGAGGGTCAGGAGTACTGCAGCTTCAAAAGACAATCAGGGGAGAATGAAAACTTCTCCTATAAGCTTTAACCAGTGCTCTGCTGGACACTGATAGAAGTCATAAGACTGCTCTAACTGCTGATGAGAAAAGGTATATAGCAGTTTATATTTACTAAAATAATTGCATTTCCATGTTCCATGTACTGTGGGAGACCAGATATAGTGAATGCAGGGTCATGGGTTTAGTAACACTTTAATAAGTGAAGTCCATAAAATAAATTTGTCCTTTCAAATATTTGTTCTCAAACCACCACAACCAACCAAAAAATACATGCATATAATCCTCATATGATGAGTAAGTTTTAATGACAAAACACTTTGACCAGAAGTGATGTCATCACGCAAGGCACCTAGAAGTGCCAATCTGAGATATTGGTGTTTTAAAGGAGAAATTACTGTGATGTTATGTGAGCTATATTTTTAATAAAGTGCTTGGTTTTTAACTGTATTGCACTATGGGAGTATATTTTTGTTTGAGATAAAGCTAAACAGATTAATAAAAGCCGTTTTCAAGACATTTGGTGGATCTTGGACTCTTTTATGGGCTTTGTGACAGACACCACCGGGAAAGGGGCTTTTGGAGGGGACTGCAGGTTAGCCTCTTGCCTACTGACCATAGGCCCTGCCATCTGAGTGGGCTCCATTTTTTGGGAGGTTTGTGTCTGGGGGACCTGTAATGTGTTTACCGTTGTGTATTTTGTTCCATTGTTAATTGAGTCAACTATTGTTTCTGTCTATTCGCTAGTCCTCCTGGAGGTTCCTACATGATGGGATTAATATTGTGTCAACTTTACCTCATTATCTAATCAGTGTGGGATGTTTATCCCAGTGTGTAATATTTGTTTTTATTGTTCATGTGGGGGCTTTCCCTATTTCTGAAGTGTATAAAAACCTGTATTTCTGTTAAGTAGAGTTCCAGTTTTGCACCTAAGCTACTGTCGCCTATTCTTGGGTGTGATGCCCAGCTATAATACCTGGGTCCTGTGTCTCAGCAGCGAGGAAGTAGTTTTCAGATGGAATCACCCATTCAGGGTGACAGGTGGTCCGTCATAAGCTTGTAATCAGGAAAGCTGCTAAGAAGGTGTATTGGCCATCAGTGTATGGATAGAGAGGTTCTTGACTCACCTTACTGAGGAAGGAATTCAAATTTGTCTGGTGAGCCTCCCATCTGGAGTTCACTTGTGGCTATTGGTTTTAAAGGGGCACTACACTTTTTTTGTGGAGAGAGCTATTTTAATCCACTTCTTGGTAAGGGGTATATACTATATGTCTAGTAAGCAGGGACATGGTCATGAACTGGACTAATGTTTAAATATCCTGAATATTATTTTTGGCAAAATAATTTTGAGTTCACACTAATGTACTACACTATATCATTCTTTCTGTTTCTATACTATTCCAGGGAAAACATTATATGACACTACATGACTACTGGATTAGAAGAAAGAGGATAGCCCTGGTGATGGTTTCTGTTGTATTCATATCTGCTGTGGGAAAACGTGGTTATGAATTTTGGAGTTATTGATATTTGGTGAGCTTTGAACATATTAATTGGCCCTACTTTTGATGAGATAGTGATATCAGTTTGCTTTGTGAGTACTATAGTCTATGTTTTTTTTTCCAGTTATATATAATATACTACACTATGGATATATTTTTTTCTTCCAGCCTGTCTCTAAACCGAGGAGCAAAGAAAACTGTGCCTGCTTGTGACTGTGAATCCATCCAGTGAAAAACTTCATCCTGCCCATCCCAAAATGCGGTTGGGAAAATGTCAATAATTCCTGCTGAGCTTCCATCTATGTAATAAACTCACAGGAATCATGGTGAGGAGTTGTGGTGATTGAAGAAAACATATTTGAAAGGACTTATTTATTTTATGGATTTCACTTATTACATCTACACTATTATACAATTGTAGCAGGGGGAACTAGTGTTTTAATTGGTAGTAAGGAAAGGCTGAGTAGCAGCCTGGGTGTAATAGCCAGAAGATCAAATCATGGTCAGGAGCTGAGAGGCTCTGCAGGCCAACCACTCTGGAATTTCCCCGTGATCTGGGGCTTTGGAGGAAGGCTGTAGAGGCAGTGGGTTGATTTGAGGAGTGTCTCGCTGCACTCTTGAGGGTTCCTTGCCAATCCCCAACAGAATGCTTGGCAAGGAGATGGACAACCTTACAAGTGTTGGAGCCTGCTTAGTTTCAGGAGAGTTCGGGTGGAAGACAGTGAAGAAGATGTGAGGATGAAGGCAGGAAACTGCGAGGAGGTCCAGTGGGATGGGACCTACCTGCAGGCCTGGAGCTGGAAAGGGAGAAGCTCAGAGACTCACTGGCCCCCAGAGTGAGGTCCAACTGTATAGCAGGGAAGGAGCAGCTCAGCTAAAAGGAAGCAGCCACCAACCCACCAGTGGTACAGGAGAGAATTTAAGTGAGTACCCCTGCACCCCTTGGGCGGATACAGGAAGGAGCTCTCTGGTGGTAAACCACATTTGCCACCTACCAGTGACTGTTCATTTCTTAAAGTGACAGGCACCAGATCTCCTGTTGAGGGATACTTCCAGATTGCTGTGTGAAGAGAAGCTGTTCATCTAGGGTCTGGGGTGGTACATTGAGAGGCTGGCTAGCTCTCCATCAGAGACTGTGCTGCAGAAAAGACTTTTAAATAGTTCTAGGATGTTGTCCTCAGTTTTTTGGTTTCCTTGTGCATCCTGTACACCCTAACCCTATCCCAGTTCAAATCCGCTAAATAAAATAACAAAACCGAAACCCAAGGACTGATTTCTGACTTTGGATGCAAGTCTATGTGGAAGTATTTGTTGCCCGGCTGTGCAGGACTATAGGGGGGCCCAAATCTTCAGCAACTCCTAAGGGGGTAGTGCTATACAATTTTCAATATACAATTATACAATTTTCTTTTTGCATTGTTTTTTTATATGTACACTAATTGGTGTTCAAGGTGTTCAATATTTAGTAGGAAAGTAGCACTGGAACACATGTATTTAGAAGAAAATCAGGATTCTTCCCTCATAGACTTCAATAGGGTTTGATGCTAAGTTTGCCTTCTTTGGTTTTAAGCAGGATTTGGCAAACTTCCCCACAGACCAAAGCTGGGCACATTTGCTCATCCCTAGTGTACAGGCAAAGCTGACAACAGAGACATATTACCTGACTTAAGTTCAAGATTGGTAAAGGGTTCCTGAAAGCTGTCACTCTGGACTAGAGATGGGAAGGCCTGGAAAAAAATGGAAAAATTGGGGAATTTTTTTTTTTTTTCTCAGACATTTTTTCTGGAAGAATTGGAAATAAAAGAAGTGTGGGATATGTTATTTTATGATAAGTCATATAATTATAACATGGTATTCAATCTATATAACATGAAGACCTTACTTAAAGATTTCTGAGACTTTGAGTAAATTCTTGAATTATTGCATGTTCTCTCAGCTGAAGACAAGCAAATCCTGGAATACAATTCAAGTAACACTGTACTTCTCAATGCAGTTCTCAAACAAGATAACTATGCATTTCTGCCACTAGGGAGCACTGCAGTGGAGAGGCTCACTTTTAGTTTGCTTGTGGAGTCCGTCTTGTACCTCCTAATGGGAATGCAAGATGCTTCTCCCCCAGAGTTCTTAATCCAGAATTACTCTTTCTGCTGCCTCTGGATAATTATAAAGTGTTTCTTCACCAGCAGCATCTTCAAGTAAGGAAGTGATGCAAACCACAACCACTGCCTCCCAAGAACACACATTCCCTTCATTTATAGAAAAAATGACTCCTGAAAATCAGGAGAAAAATTATCAAGATATTGCAAAAGCAATATATGCCTTTTGATCAGCATTGCCAATAACTGCAAATATTGGTAGGAAGCTTTGAAATTATTATGAGTGAAAGGGGGGTGGTTACCTGTTCTCATGTATAGTTGAAATGTTCTTAACCCCTTCACGCCTAAGGGTAAAACAAATCGAAATGCCTAAGCACAATTCTGCAACGTTGACATGTGTTAGTAAATCCATACATATCTTCACAACTTTGTACATCCAGTTGGATTATACTGCATTTTTTTAAGGACAAATTGGGCTTTCATTTGGTGGTAAATGGTAATGGATATCTCTTGATTTTTTTGTTATTATCAAAGGAAAA